ATCATACAAACTAAACATTTTTGTGACTTTGGGTCACAGTGTTTTCTCCATGTAAACTCGAGATATAAATTAGACCAGATTTCAGCTCCACATTAATTTGTGTCTTCTTTGTTTTTTTGACAGATAACCGTTCTAAAGAAAAGTGAGTCCAAATAGAACAATAAAAGAAAGAGTTGGCCACACGGATTCATCATCGAGACCCGCTCCTGACTGATGAATGACAGCTGATGTCAAATGAAGACATTTACCTCCAGCGCCTCCAAGCTGATGAAGCTCGCGATCGCGAAGCCGTCGATGATGTCTTCCTCGCAGGACACAGACTCCCTCTTCCTCCGACGTGGAGGCCTGTGTCTCCCGAATACGGGCCGACATTCTCTCCCGCCGGGACCCAGGACGTTATTCGTCCCGCGTCCCTCTCGGTCGGAGCCCGAGGACAGGGACGTGGCCCGCTCCTCGGCCAGGTTCACTCTCCTCCGCCGCCTCAGCTCCCTGTCGCGCTGCGAACGGGACCGTCGGCTCTTTCTCATTCCAGCGCTTCGGCTCGGACCCTCCATGGTCGGAGGCCGCCTTCCTTTGTAGCTCCAATGGGGCCAAAGGCACTTTATTTCAGTCCCGGTCCGGCAGAAGGCACCGAACCGTAAATTTAAAAGAAGGAAAAGGGGGAAAACAACCACACCACAAACAGGCCCGAAGAGGGAGCCCCTGTTAAAATGGCGTTAATGGAACCAGTGGCTATTATTTACCGTCCCCTGACAGCAGTCTGCTGGCATCAGCGCCTTTCTTTTTGCGGAATTTTAGTGTCATTTCACTGAATATGAACACAGACTTGGATCCAGGTGGGAATATCAAACATCCAGAACGTCACGCAGATGTCAGGACATAGCTGACTGTGTTATCCTCCGAGGCTAATAGGAGCTAACAAGACGCATGTAAACAAAAAAAGACAAGTCTAGATAAGGGCCGAAGCAGATTGCTTACATACGACAAATTAAAAAGTACACCATCAGAAATCCTCTTCACGACCAATCCGATTCTCTCAGGAGTTTTTTTTTTCTGTACACACTGACAAATTTATTAGCAATAATGACATACGATTAGCTGGCTAGCAAGGCCAATAACCTACTATTCCCAATAATATTTAACATTAATGTCAAAGTTTGACATTGACAGAGAAAGTTAATGAATAGGAATGTAACTAGTTAAACAAGCTAATTAACTATAAATAGCAAAGCCTAACAGAACTCGTTAATCAGTCTTTAGCTGTCTCGGATAGCATAGCTAAGGCGATACAATATTATATATACTAGGAACCTAAGAATATGCCTATATTATTATAATGTCTCCAAAGACTGACAGGTCGAACTGCAGAGCTGGACTTAGATCCATCCGCCACAAAGAGCAAATATTCCTCCCGTTGAAGATTTAATGGCCGATGGTGATGGTTGAATTCATCAAAAGAAAGACGTAACGTCGCTACCACAGCAGCTAGCTGTTAGCCTTCCGCAAGAACCTCCCAGATTTTAAGGAAGGCTAATATTACATACGTAAGTTTTAAACTGCGAAACAAGCGTAGAGCTTTAATCTTTCGCCTTATCAAACACAACTCTCCCGTCGTTCTCCGTGCGTGACAACAAAAACCTCCGAGGCCCGAATTTTAAAGCCTCGATTTCGATTTACAGGGTGTCGGTACTTGAGCCCCCGTCGGGCTGGTCTCCTTCTGCATGAAGCCCTCCTTATAATCCAATGTTTGAAAGAAGTTGAACCGCCGCTTCCGCTCAGCGATCTCTCAATCGCGCTGAGCTCGGACTCCACGTATATTGTGAGAGGAATACAGAATGGCTCCGCTGAGCTTTCGCAAGTTTCCACGGAACTGGAAATTAATGGTGAAAATGAGGCAGACACAACCCTTGTCAGTCGTGCTGTGCATTGTGTGCGCAGCTCTTCTTCCTCAGTCATCTGGCTGGTTGATTGGAGCTGAATTGAGCTATGTCGCCCCCATGCGGACACTGTCCTTAAATCCAGGGCATCCAGTAAAAACAGTAATTTCACCAGTTTTTTGTTGATTTTTTTTCTGTATGTTATTATTCAGATTTTGTCACATCTAATGAAAACATAAAATGAATTAAATGGGGCCAATAAAAGAGGTTGTAATGCAGGAACCTGAGCCAATTACGTTCATGTATTCTACAAAATAAGATCTCAATGCTTGTTGGGCTCTTTTGTATGAGCTATTGCATAAAAGTGCATGTTACCGACTCCATTAGGCTGTGGCTCTGGTGAGGCCACAGCCTAATGGAGAAAGCCCAGGTTGCTGTAATACCAGCAATCTTTGTTTGCCTTGTTAGTTTTGGTGTTTCCCCATCTCCGTCTTAGCAACGTGCTCGATATCATAGATGAACAGTTTAATTATTATTGACTGAAAATGGTCAAGGTATTGCTGGCTTCTGCTCTTCCTCACACAGGCGTTCAATATCATCTAGGAAATTATGTTCTGGTGCTCGAAGCTTTCATCTTTTCTTCCAAAGGCAAATACGGTACTTCTTCTGATGTCTCAAATAATTAGAAGGTTTGACCTGAGAAAATAACTTTATACCAGTCTTCTACAGTCTGTCACTGCTCCATTATTGAACTTACTGTGCTTGAAGATGCATTCATCATTGTTCAGCCAGCTCTACATTGGCCACAACTTGTTTTTATGGCTCACTCTTCATCAGGTGAAGGTCCTGGAATCCATTTTAAGTTATGAAGGTTATATTGCACTCTCTACAATTCTTGTCATTATGGAAAAGTGGCCAGAAGAAAACTATTGTTGAAGAAAGCGACATAAGAAGTTAAATTTTTCTGTTCACCACAGAAAATTGGTGAATTTTCTGAGGACACTCTTATCAGATCAGGCCGACGCTAAACACAGCCGTGGTGTTTGGAGGACAGCTAACACTGTGCATCGCCCCGAACACAATACATACTACAAGGTAGAAAACTGGCTGAAGTTGGAAGTGGATCGACCTAAATGGAGAGCAATCCTAGAAGAAAATCAATTAAAGGATGCGGACTTGAGGCTGGGTCAGAGGTTGCTTCTCGCCCTTATTCTACATTTTGTTCATGCATTATCTGTAAAACCAATCAGCAAAGTAAAGATATTAAGCGCTAATAAAATCAGTGCAAATGCAGGCCAATGAAGAGTTAAAAAAAAGTGAAAACAGTTTGGGTTACATAAAATTTAAGATGTAATTTAAACATAAATACAAATGCGTAAAGATTCATGCAGCATATGCAGTTCAATTTTTCCTTATTTATCCTTAAATAAGCTCATGTCTGAACTCTTCACACGGTCCCATCAGTTTCAAATTAAATTCAACTGAAGGGGTGATATGGTGCTGAGCTTGCAGCTACATCATCGCAGATTTCTGGGGTACTGGATGAATCAGAGCCGTGACTCACGTTTTTCCTCCAATAAAAACATCCAATCTCTCCAGTGAAGTTCTCTAAGAACGAAATTCATCCACTGGAACAAAGACGTCACCGACTTAATCAGTGACCAAATTACTGCAGGAAAACTTTTGATTTGAACGTCAAGGTTTTAAGCACCATTTAAAAGAACGTTTCGGTAAGTAATTTTCTTAAACTCACTATATGTAATAGGCAACATGCTGAGACACTAGCAAATCACATACGTTTTCACCGAATAAGAAGCTTGGCATGGGCCTTCGAGAGAAGTAAAACAAATACCAACCTTCTAAAGTCACAAAATTAGTAATTAGTTAATAGAGTTCATCTGTGTGTAATCTAACTTCAGTTCAAGTCCAGCTGTTCTGTGGAGGCCTCAGAGATTTGGTAGAGGGCCTCGGTGAAGAAACAGCATGGCGAAGGAACACAGCAGACAGGCTTTGAACGTCACATGGAGCAGCGATCAGACGTCGGCTGAAAAACGGAGAGAGTGCGGCACAACTGCACACCTACTGAGGTGTGACCGTTCCCCTGAACCGACTGACTGGACCATGAGGGTGATAATTAGAGAAGGAGCAAAGAGTTCCATGATCATTCTGGACGAGCTGCAGAGGTCTAGGTAGGAGAATCTAAACTGTAAATTGTGGAGTCATAGTCTCCGCAGTTTTCACTGCCGTACCATCGTTGAACGGAAACTGAGAAAAGAAAATCCCACTTAATTCAGGGGATCTGTAATCTCATGTATGTCACCCTGCATGTCCACAGTGCAGTGGTGGAGACTGCAAATGTTGGAGAAAAATGTTCCTATTTCAAAACAAAGAATTCATTTTTCTATTAGACATAAAAATGTGTGGTGAAAAACTAAAACTGCATACTATCCCGAAAACAAAAAAAAAGTGTCAGCATCATGCTGTGGAAATAGGGAGCTGATGGATGGATCTAAATACAGGCAAACTCTTAAAGGATGCCTGGTAAAAGCAGAAAAAGACTATGACATAGGCTGAACTTAACGCAGAATAACAACCCTAAAGATAAGAGTCGGGGCTGCAAAGGAACAGTTTAAATTATGAATGTTAGAAACCTCCAAAGTCCAGACCTAAATCCAAAACTTAATCAGAGACTCTCCATCCCATCTGACTGAGCTTCAGCTGTTTTACAAAAAAAGACTGGGCTGTGATTTATTTTGTACATGTGCAGAGCTGGTGCAGACTTGCAGCTGGATTAACAATGGAAGGAAAGTACAGATGACTGTGACATTTTAGGTTTTCAAGCATAAAAAAGGTTTGAAAACCGTGTGTACTTTAACTTCCATGTGCTATTTGCTCTGTGTGAAGCTGTCGAAAAAAGTTGTGAATACCTGTAAGTCTCCCCCACATTTATTCTTGATAAATCTTAATACAAGTCATTCAGATGTAAGAAGAAAATTCTGATGGAACTAATTAAGCTGCTAGTTTTGCAGATTCGATTTAAGTTGGTGAGAAAGTATCATCAATGGTATAGAGCTGAATTATATTAAGATACACTGATGCTTTTAGTTTTTGGAAAAGGTTTTATTGATAATGATACCAGTAAATCACCAGCTTCATAATTTCCGGTTCCAGCCAGACATTGTTTACCAGCGCATTAAGGTCTGCTTTCCTTCTGCGAGAAACATCTGGACTTCGTGAGCAGAGAGTGCAGCATGATGCCTGCAGCCACAGAGACGTTCAGAGACTCAATGCCGGGTGCCAAGTCTCTTCCAGCTGGGATCGTGAGCAGGGTTTGGCACACGGACAGGAGCTTCCCGGAGAGCCCTTCCCCCTCGCTTCCCATCAGCAGCATCGTCGGTCTGGTCACCTGAAAGTCGGAACAAGGGGTAACGGGAATGCGGGACGCCTCCAGATCTCCTCCCACTGTCCCAACCACCTGCCAACCCTGTTTCACCTTCGTCCTCAACATGTCTTCCAGGCTGTCACACCCATACACCCTCATGGCCTCCATGACGCCCGAGCTGGCCTTGCTGACCACGGGAGACAACGGGCAGCTATGGCGAAGAGTGCTGATCACCCTGTCCACGCCGAGAAAATAAGCAGAGCGCAGGATGGCTCCCAGGTTCATCGGGTCCTGGATTCTTTCCAGGACCAGCCACAGAGGGATGCCAGGCCCACTTGTGTCGGATTCAGAATCAAGGGTGAGAAAGTTCAGGGGACTGGCTTGCAGACATACTCCCTGATGTACTCCTCCAGAGGACATCTTGTCCAGATTCTTCTTGTTGACCCGACTGACTGGTACCTCTCGCCGACGTGCTTCCTCACATACGGATAAGACGGAGGCCCTCAGGGAGGCCTCGCCATCTTTAACCAACAATTGGTAGACCTTCCTTCTCCCCTGAGTGAGAGCCAGGAGGCAGGGAGCAATGCCAAAGACAACTTCAGCTGTATCTTCTTGCTTTGTTCTCAGCTGTCTCTCTTTGTCTGCAGGGAAATCTTCCAGACTCAACCTCCTGAGCTCAGACGACACCTTGAAGACTCCCCCCCTCCCATGATTCAGTGGTGGTGGGAGATCCTTCTTTGAGGATTTATCCTTGAATGACCTCTTACGGTCCGCGGTCCTTTCAGCTGCTGCAGGGCGATGTGGAGCAATGGAGGAATTTGGGCCTCCATGGCGCCTTTTGACCAAAGGGTACCGGTTCCGGTGCTCTGGGCTCAGGGGGGAAGTCTCTGCTGGGGGCCCCGTAGATGACAGTTTTCGGCACCAGTCAAAAACAAACTTGTGCTGGCGGGCAGAGCTGCTGAGCCGCATGATTAAAATGGCTGCAAAGAGGTCGAGATGCGATTACATTCCGTCCAAATGAAACTCGCCAAAAAACGTCTGCAATCCTGGGATCACTCCACGTGGTCAGACACTTTACGAAGCGCCGTTCATTCTCAGACTGGAGTATTTTCTCCTGCAGAAGAAACGTCTGCAGCTCATACGCGAACTGCAGAACATGTGCGGATCACGCTCAGTCAAGTAAACGATGTTAGCGCCGGATATCAAAACGTTTCACCTAACAAAATAAAAGCGCGACGAACATCGTTAAAAAGGCGAAACAAAACATTTCTTCAAATCTGACATCATTGGAAGTTGTGCATTCGGAAAAAAAGAATCCCATGAAATGTAATACATAATGACATAGGACGAGAACTTAATATCTTGCACGGTTTTATTATATATATATATATATATATATATATATATATATATATATATATATATATATATATATATATATATATATATATATATAATAAAATGAAACACAATTAATGAGTGGATATGTCATAAAAATTAATGAGGGTCAGTAGTTTTTAAGATGAAAAAAAAATCTATACATTGGATGAAAACGCATAAAACAGCTCTTCTTAACCCAGATTAAAGGAAAAATTTATAAATCATGAATTAATTAACTATTTTTCCTTTATACTTTTGGGATGTCCATTTTATTATGTTTTTCTGTGTTTTTTGATGTTGTTCTTTATTTGACGTCAAATCATTGCGTTTCTTGTGACGTCATCAGCTCGTAAATGTGCATGCAGAATTAACTTTGCTTTTGTTTTTTTTACTGTTATATTTGTGTATTGAATCACAGTGAGTGTGAAATTCAAACTTTCTTACCCAGCTGTGTTTTATTGTTGTCGATGTACATTTGTTACAAACAACATCAACATGGTCGCACAAAACCCGGATCTGTTGCTTTTTTTTTTTTTTTTTACTTTTGGGCGTGTATTTAAATTCACACTTTTATTGTAAAAGTTATTTCTATCAACTTCCGGCAATTTGCTTACCTTGACCTACATGACGAAACGGCAAAACTGACGTCTTCCTCGTTGTTCCGACGCTACGTCACTTCCCGGAAGGGCAACTGTAGCAACACGGAAGCGGTTGGAAGGAAAACAAATAAGCCTTTATTTTCTGAGTCTGTTTGAAGTCAGAGAAGAACCTCTGGGCGCCGTTTTCCTTCTGTTTCCCTGTCTTTGACGAAAACTGTGGTCTATGGTAAGTGTGACTTCGTCTCGGCTCCGGTGGGTTCGGTGGTTCGGGTCAGGCAGGAACAGAACCGAGTCAAGCGGGGCTCAAACCTGACTTTAGGCCTTTTGGGCACATAACTAATATCTGAGAGATTTACAGCCCGGCACTTAAACTTACTAATGTACTAAATATAAAAGAACAGTCACTTAAAGACGCTTAAAACAAGATCCTTTTATGACGAACAGTTCATGTTCAGGTGGAAACCCCCTCTTTTTAATTTTTTTTTATTTTAGATCTACTTGTACTGAACTAGCCGAATAATTAGCTGATACATCCCAAATAACGTCATGTTTCGTTAAATGTGTGACTTTTTTTCTGGCAAAAGGATTGAAAGTGTCTCATTCTCGTGTTTCAGTCAGAGATCTCTGAAAAAATCTATTTTACCTCACCTACATCTGAAAGTTTCATCATAGTTTAAAAACTAATTCCCTTTATAAACGTACTATCTGGTCATGTTGGAGACCAGAACAACGCCATGTTGTTGAATGGGGCTTTTCTTTACAGTAAGCACAAAAATTCACAAACCTGAAAATGCTTTCCTTCATTGCTTGTAGTAGTTTTTGCTTTTTTTCTTTATAGTTACTGAAAACTTCCGTCTTACTGTTTATTTGGTTTAAAGTCCATTTAGCCAGATGTCAAAGAAGCTGCTTGAGTTTTCACTGGCTGTCTAGAGCATAGAGTGAAGATGCACTGCCCCTCCCACACCTGTTGCTGCACCTTCGGCCAGTGGGCTGAAAACTCCTACAATAAAGACAAATTTATCTGTGAGGAAATATGTTTTCTTTAGATATATAAAAAGAAAAGTGCAAAACTATAATTGGCCATCTACCAGCAGCTTGTCATGTGCATAAGGTTAAATATCTTTTGACATTTTGTTGGATAACATGATAAAGTTATTTTGAAGGTTCGCAGCACATCAACGTACAATGAATCTTTCTTTTGTTAGGATATCAAATAAAATGAATAGCAAATAAAATCTGGCCCACAAAGACTTTTATTGTTGTAATGATGTCATAGGTCAAGTGATGAGTGACTCAGCACATTCCAGACTACTTTAAGTTTCACTTAATTTTCCACCTGATTGTGTACAAAGAACTGTGATCTCATCCCGGATGCAGTCCCATAATTTATTAATTAAGTTGGTAAGTAAGTATTTATACATGTGGTAATTTAGATTCAGTTAAAAGTGCGTAGCATAAATAGATACATTTATCTGTCATTATTTTATCCTTCATTAATTTTCTAAAATGCTTGAATTCCTTATTTGTTCAAATATGCACACACAATTATTTGAACAATTTAATGACATTTTTCCATGATCCTGTTATGGATTTTATCAGTGTCATTGGGTGGGGTCGCTGATGCATTTTATAATTTGTATGTATGTTATAATAATTTACACACTTAAATAAATATTATCTAATTATTATTTTTTTAAACAGTTTTTGAAATGATGACATACATGAACAATTATTTGACTTTTTTTTTAAACATACTTTTTTTTTTTTTGTTTGTTTTTAGAATATTTTTACCTTTGCTTTCATTACACAGATGGAGTTCCTGTTTGGGAAGAGGAAGACCCCGGAGGAGATGCTGAGGCAGAACCAGAGGGCGCTCAACCGGGCCATGAGGGATCTGGACCGAGAGCGAATGAAGCTGGAGCAGCAGGAGAAGAAGATCATTGCTGACATAAAGAAGATGGCCAAACAGGGACAAATGGTGAGCTAAAAGGAAGCAGAGACGCACCAGTTCATCATATCGGCAGCACAAATACTGTGAAATAATTTACTTTTTGCTTATCCATTACTTGCAGCAAAACTAAAATCTCCAGCTATTTGTTTGCCCGTAAACACATAAACTAACAGCACGACACACTTTTAAAGTTTAAGAGCAACCAGGTAAAGGTTAGGACACGCTGTGATGAATAGATCAGAATAAATTTGTAAAAAAGAACAAAAAAATGGATAGCTCTGTTTTATAAGGAATTTTGTGTTGTCCCAATCTCCACAGGACGCAGTAAAGATCATGGCGAAGGATTTGGTTCGCACGCGACGCTACGTCAAGAAGTTCATCATGATGAAAGCCAACATTCAGGCTGTCAGCCTAAAGATCCAAACACTCAAGTCTAACAACAGCATGGCACAGGCGATGAAAGGCGTCACCAAGGCCATGGCCACCATGAACAGACAGGTCTGTGCTCCGCGCTCTCTGTGATGGAAGCTAACAGCACTCCTTCCTGTTCGGATGATGTCATTTCCCCCCCATTCCCACAGCTGAAGCTCCCTCAGATTCAGAAGATCATGATGGAGTTTGAGAAACAGAGCGAGATGATGGATATGAAGGAAGAGATGATGAACGACGCCATCGACGACGCCATGGGGGACGAGGACGATGAAGAGGAGAGGTGAACTAAATGAAACATGACATTTTGAAGGATTATCCTTATTTGTGAGGGATATGAAACTTTTCAGCAGCTAGTTAGCTTAGCATAAGGCCAGAAATAAGGGTCAACAGAACAAAAAGTCTCTCTGTCGAAAAACACAGTGAATATCTTGTTTGTTGACGTGCGCTTCTCATGCAGCGACGCCATCGTCTCCCAAGTGCTGGATGAGCTCGGCCTCAACCTGTCTGATGAGCTGTCAAGTAAGGAAAACCCTCCGATCTTCAGCAGCTCCCGTCTCTCGATATCCTTCTCAGCGTTTTGCTGAATCCCCCCCCCTGCGCTTTCATTGCAGATCTTCCCAGCACCGGGGGAAGCCTCTCCGTGGCCGGCGGAAAGAAGGCCGAGCCTCAGGCCGCCTTGGCCGACGCGGACGCGGACCTGGAGGAGCGTCTGAATAACCTGCGGAGAGACTAAATGCACAAGAACTGTCAGAGAAGCGCACTTTGGCGAGGGTCACCAATACAAACGCACTCGAATCTCTGTGTCTAGATTCTTTTGGAGGCAAAAGTGGCCGACTGTTAACAGCGAGCAAGCTGTTCCATGAGGTGTATGGCTTTCTGTTTGAGGTATTTTCATTTACTGTGTGTGCTACGTATCTTATCATTGCGCGGGTCTTGTGTCCTTCATAGGTCTAGAAAATCCTCTTCGATTCAATTCAGACTCTGCCAAATGACACACATTGTCTGTACATACTAATTTCTCAAAGCATGATGTATTTACGGTTTAAATCAACACTAATTACAGAATATTCAAGGAAAACCAAAAAAGTCTAGAGATGTTAAAGAAGGCTAAATTTTATGACTGACATCTAGAAATGTCGGCGCATTTTGTACATGAGGTGGGTTCGGTGTTCTTTTCTATCACCAATATTAAAACATTATCAGCATTTTTATTCTCTTTAAATGTGGAAGGTTCCAGTAGGAAATATAGTTTATTATGATGATGATTATTAAAATTTGACAAAGAAGGCTATGTTCTGGAAAACACTCCTGGCGATTCTTGTACTTTTGTTTATGAGATCAGCAGTGTCCTTATTGCAAAATGTTAAGGAGTTTGTGGTGTGGTGTTTTTTTTTTTTTGTTTTTTTTTTGAGAAATCTTCATTTTGGCTTTATTCAATAAACATTTTTTTCCAGAAGACTTGTGAATAGATCAGTTTTCATGTGTAATACATCTCATTATTTGATACATTTTGGACGCTCTGCAGCAGACTGGGGAATTGCATGATTTGCACTTTAACATGAAGGGTTCTTGTAATTAGGTTACAGAAGCTTTTTCATGGCGTAACTGTACTAATCCTGTGTTTAGTTCACTAAAGTAGCTGTCAAAATGTAATTCCAAGAATATCTCTGTCATGGCACTCAAACTGTGGGACTGTCTGGAGTTTGTCTTTTTCATGTTGCATTTTCACCTAAAAAGTAACTTCAAGTCACAATTTGCAGTCAGACCATCTCCATTTAGCTCTGGCACTCAGAAACAAATCATAGATTAAGCCGTAA